GGGCGTACTCTACAAGTCAATTGAAGATCGCGCGGTCGACGCGTGCGCAACGAACAAAAGAACGACTTAACCGCATGGTATATGTTACTCCTGTCCACCCAAAGTCTCTCTCGCTTCTTCGGCTAGCGCGTTGACGATTGATGATTGATGATTGATGATTGATGATTGATGATTGATGATGACGTCACACAGGTACGGCAAGGATGGCCTCCGGGGGTTTCAAACTTCAACGCAACACCAACGAACAACGAAAACTACAACAGCAGCAACCACAACAACAGAAGACAGACAGACAGACAGACAGACACTACAGCGTGGCTCGCCCTACCCATCGCGTCCTTGCAGAACCTTGGCCCTCTCCCTCTCGAACTCCAGCCTCTCCCGTTCGAACGCCGCCGCTTCGTCCTTCTTGCGGTTCTCCTCCCGACGCTCACGGTCCGCGCTGCGGAGGCCAGCAGCCCTTGTGTTCTTCGGCGGCTCTTTCGTTGCGCCCCCTGACAGACAAGTTTCGACGCAAGGGGCATCAATGCATATATACATTTGAGGACGAAAAACATGACGAAATAATCCTGTCCGATATTTCTCCGGGATGACCCCAGGTGATACGTCAACCATCTACATACCGTAAGAGTCGGAGAGATGGCACCCCCATGTTAGCGTTTTTTTGTAGTGTATTTCTCCACAACTATAATAGGAGGGTGCGAACACCAACCGATACCTCTCAGGAAAGCCCTCCACGAGATGTTTCCGAAAGTACCCTTTTCGGCAGTGGTACCCCCCTGGTTGTGGAGAAATAAGCTATACCAAAACGCTAACACGGGGGTGCCATCTCTCCGACTCTTACGGTATACCACACCGAAGGTGAGCGTGTAGATAGATAGGACCAAAACACACAGACCCCGCAGACGACGATTTTCTGTTCATCCCTGGCTAGGGTAGGGCACGCGGCAGTAGATTTGTCGTGAATCACAACTTGTTTAGAGTACGTTTCTTTCTCTGCGGGGCGATGGGGTAAGACAATTTTTTACAGAAATCACATCGCCATCGTTTATGCCCTCTCGACGTTGTGGTTAAAGGTGTCAACGTACCTCCCCATGGTGATGAGGAATGAGGAAGCCCATAGGTCTGCTTGTTGTTGGTAAGGGATTTGCACGGGGGGGCTGGGTTCCTTCAGAACGGTCACAACAGCGGCAGACAAGACGCCTAGCACGTGCACATGGAAGAATCGCATAATCTACCTGGTACACAGCATACATGGCACATACAAATACACAATACACATACACATACACATACACATACAGACGACTGGTTAAAAACATTAGAACTACGAGGTGACCGGTACTCCACATGATAAACACAACCACAACCACGACCACCATCACCATCAACTACAACCACACAACCAGCAGCACGAAAAAAACGTCAAGGCAACAAGAGCAGCCAGAAATTGTACGCAAAAACAAGCCTCTCTCTCTCTCTCTCTCTCTCTCTCTATCTATCTATCTCACCGTCACCGGGCAGCGTGGTCGGCATGTCCCAGATATCCGCCTCGCTGGTCCCCCCGTACCGCCCCCTCCCCGCCCCCGCCCTGTCTCTGTTGGCACCAGCGGCGGCGGCGGCGGCGGCGGCAGCACCGGCACCCCCAGCAGCGATCGCCTTCTCGTGTGCTACGGCCCGGTCGTGGGCCCCAAGCCCCCCGTCATGGAGGCCGTCGCCGCCGCCGCCGCCGCCCCTATCCCTGTCCCCAACGTCCCTGTCCCTGTCTCTGCCGTTTCGCCTGTCTCGGTCTCTGTCCCGATATGTCGTTCACGATTGTGTAACCGATGTGCGGTGGGGATAGGGCGAGGAGGAGGAACACGCGGTGGCCATATACGGTAAGGGGTAATAACGAAGGTAGTAGTGAGCGGTGACATGAGATGAGTATGTGAAGTGCATGTCGGGGATAGAGAGGCGGGGGGGGGGGGGGGGGGGGGGTTTTTTCCCCCCCCCCCCCCCCCAAATCAACCCCAAACCTATCCCCCTTCTTTTTAAAGGGGCCCCCCCTTTGTAACCCAAAAAAATTTTAAAGGGGGGGGGGCGGAAAAATTCATTTCCCCCCCAAAAAAAAAACCCTTTTCTTTTTTTTTAAAAAACTTAGGGACCCCCCCAAAAAACCTAAAAAATTCCCTTCCTTCTTACTTCCCCAACCGGGGGGGTTACCCCCCGGGGGGAAAAAACCCTTTTTGCTTTTTTTCCTGGCCCCACCAAGGCCCCCCAACCCTTTTGGGGGGGACCCTGTGGGGGACCCAAAAAAAAACAAAGCCTTTAAAGCAATATCTCCTTCTTCCTTTTATAAAACCCCATTCCCCCCAATTTAAAACAATCCCCCCCGTATTTAATTTTAAACCCTCCCCACCCCACCTTCCCCCCTATCTCCCTTTCCCCCCCCCCCCCTTTTTTTA